GTGCAGACTGGTGGAGGCTGGCACCAGGCCCTGCACTTTGTGCCACCTCAGGACACTGGACACTCGGCCTGTGTTGGCTGGAGAGGTGGGATCTACCTGGCTTCCTGGGCTCCCACCACCAGGACCCAGCAGACCTGAAGGATTCTCTGTCTGTGGTGGATGTGGCTGCCTTCACCAATCCAGGCCCCTGGGAGCCTTTCCCTGGAGACCTGACCCTTGAGAGCTCAACCCCTCCCATCCCCACTCCTCCCAAACACCCCTCCCCATGTTCCTGCTTATCAACCTGACAGCTGCCCCCTTGCTGGCCCAGCCTCCTGCCAACCCATGTGCTTCTGAAACATCCCCACTGGCTTTGGTTAGCAGGGCTGCCATCCACCATCTCTCCCAAGCCAAGCCCTGCATCCCTGCCAAGCAGCCCAGCAGGCAATCAAATGTCAGATCCCTCCCACTGCACCCTGTCCCTGAGAACATTTTCTTATCTAAGACCTCTGCCCTCAGGGAAGCAGAAAGAACCTCCCTCCACCTGGCTGAGAAACAAGCAGGGACCCCCTCACCCCTGTCCTGGTAGGGCTCAGCCACAGGAAACCTTAGCAGATGAGTGTCAGGACACTTACTCCCCTGAACTGCCTCCTTTTGAGGTCATCTTGGGCTGGCCCTGTCCATCACCTGAAGGTCACTGTTCTCTCATGCACTGTGCTGGGCAGCCTCATCTGACATGCTTCTAATGTGAGTGCACCTCAGTGTTCCTCCTAGAAATGTGTCTGGGCTGAGCACTCCTCAACATTTCATTTTAGTGATAATCCTCAAAAGAAAAAAAATCAACATGATGAAGGCACCATTTCTCCCTGAATCATTACCTATAATTTTAACTAGGAAAGGGGGGTTCAGATTTTATATGAAAAAGTAAATTTGGAATAAAATCTAAAGGCTGCTGTGACCAGTTCTACGAGACATTATAACCTGTCATAAAATGATGACTAGTGAGACCATGGTGCTATTATATACATAGAATAACGGAAGAATCTACAAAAATGGAAATCACAAATTACATGGGAATTCAGCATATAATGAAGATATTTCTAATTTGTGGAGGAAAGGGAGATCATTACCCAGTAAATAAGGCTGTCACAATTAGGGACCATTTAGAAATGATATACACATGCTACAGTGGACTGGAGGTTTATGTTTTCTGAAAATTGCATGTTGAAATCCTCACCCCCAAGGTAATGGTATTATGAGGTACTGAGGTCATGAGGGTAAAGCCTCCAGCATGGAGTTCGTGCCCTTATGAAGAGGCCCCCAGAGCTGCCCACCCCCTTCCCTTGTGAGAGGACAGGGTGGGAAGTGCCATGAGGAACTAGGAAGCAACCCTCACCAAACACCAAACCTGTCAGCACCCTGACGCACAGCACTTAGCCTCTAGAACTATGAGAATAAATAAGTACTGTTCATAAGACGCCCCATCTGTGGCACTTCACTACAGCAACCCAACCAGACTAAGATTCATGGAAATCACTACCATACTCCTTACCTCAAAATAAATCCCAGAGGCATCAAAGGTTTCCATATAAAAAATGAAATTGTAACAATGCTTATGGAAAAACACATTTAATTTGCCATGGACCAAGTCTTTGTAGGAAAATCAGAAAAGTAAAACAAAGATATTTATAAATTTTCTACAGGAGTATTTACAATTTCTTTGAAATAATAAAAAAAGTGAAAACCATAAAGAGAAAGTACACCTGTGGAAGCAGAGACCCCCTGGAAGGAGGAGCAGAGTCTCCTAGCTGGCAAGGTAGCGCATTTCGGGCTCCTAGGAGTCCCCAGTTGGAAGCAGGGTAAAAGCTATGGGAAGTGACTGGTTACCATTATATCCTGGCCACACAGGACCAGTGGCCACAGAGGGCATGAAATGTGCACCATGTGAACCCCACTTGGGTATGGCCATCTCTTCACTGTCACCCACTCCCAGACCACCCTTTAATCTGTGCTCTGCAGCAGCAGACAGGTCACTGCAGTGTCTCCCTGAAGAAGACTGCGTGTTGGGCTTTCCTGTTGGCGGGCGCAGCTCCCCTGGCTTCTGGCTGCAGCGCAGAGGACAGCAGGTGTGTGAGGACTCAGCTGGTGACCACCCTGCAGGCCTTGACCATCCCATCTTGACAGCCACCAGCTGACTAAGGTGTTCCTGCTCTCCTGGCATCTAGCACTTCCCTCTCTGGGATCCCAGTCAGCCCCATCTCAGGAGAGTCTGAGCATTCTCTTAGAGGCACTGCTCTGCTGACGTGGGTGACTTCAGCCTTAGGTTTGGCCAGACATGTTGTAACTCAGCCATCGTACCCCTGCCCACTCCTATTCCCCCAGCCCTCTCCTGTTCCCCCCCCCACCCTCACCTGTTCCCCCCCACCCTCTCCTGTTTCCCCCCCTCCAGCCCATTTCCCTCCTTCTCCCTTCTCCCCCCAGAGTTGACTCCAGGAACAAGGCAAGTCTCTCCTCCTCCCATGGTGGCTGAGAACAGTGCTTCCCAGCCATGTTCCCAGGCCCCCTCCTTCCCGCTAGGGCTGCCAAAAACAAGCTTCAGGTACAAGGAATAAAAGTCCCAAGTTTCACAAAACCCCCAAGTTCTCAGTAGATGAACAATAGTAGAAAACTCACCAAGACTTGATTAATTATTGTTGTATAACCATAACCATTGCGATATGAAACGTATCCATTGTCGACCAAAGCTGTGTTAATTATTGTTCCGTTGCTGTATCCATGACTACCCGAATTGTAACCCCCCCTTAACCAGCCACGTTTTGCTTCTGTAATATGCTTGCACAAAGCCTATAAAAAGCAACTCACCATCTCACCTGGGCTGCTGACTAACTCTCAGAGCAGCAGCCCCTGCGGCAGGTAAAATAAATTACCAATTAATTAACCTAAGTAGAGGTCCAACTCTATTTTTCCAGGTCTCCTAAGTTATTTCAGACAGAGCAGATGGCCACAGAGGGAAGACCATGTGAGGACACAGAGAGAAGATGCCGTCTGCAAGCCAAGAAGGGACTCCTCAGGAGGAGCCAGCACTGACAACACCTTGACCCCAGACTTTCAGCCTTGGGGACTGTTGTCTGAGCCCCAGTCTTGTGTTCTGGACTTCCAGCTCTGTGCCCAAGCCTCCCTTTACCCTTTCACCAGGCCCCTGAAGGCCTCAGCCTTCTCCAGGTGGCTTTCTGTTTCCCCTACCCCATCCCACTTAGGCTAGCTCCTGCACGGCAGCTTCTGAAACCCTGTCCCATCCTGCATAGTCCTCAGCTTCTGGGCAGGCCACTACCAGATTAACCTAATGCTAACACTCTTGCTTTGGCACTACCTATTCCTGCTGAGTTCCTCCTTACAGTTCCTCCTCCCCCCAACTGCTGCCTTGGCAATTTCAACATCCACACTGACCATCCTGTCCAAACTCCAGCTTCCAGAGCACTCCACCTCCATGGCCCCAAGGGCCATTTTCCATTGCCTCAAACACCACTCTTGCAGTCAGAGAGGGTCACCTTTATACTGTGTCCACCTCAAAAGTGACAGCATCAGGGCTCCACTCTGGCCCCTCACCACCTGTCCCCCTAATCACTTCTCTACCATTCCTACACCAACAACAATTCATCCCATGAGGCAGGGCCTCTCCCATCAGACTAACCTAACCCTAACCCTCTTACTTTGTCTCTGCTCTCTCCCTTGGGCACACCCACCTAGCAACCCCTAGCCCTGCTTAAACCTCATCATCTCCGAGCCCACCCTGCAGGTGAGCATTGCAGGAGAAAGTCACCCAGCTGCATTACCTGCTCTGACTTTTAATTTAGGGGCAAGTATCTGGGGGTAGGGAGAGGAGGGCTCGTAGCAAAACCAGACAAACCTGCATTTCTCCCAAAACTAATTTTTCACTTTTATCTCCTCAATGCCCTGCTTCTCACTCTCATCTGCGACTTCTCTTCTTACTTCACTGGTAAGGGATGTCAGACACCACTCTCAAATCTGTGCACTTGCTCCCAGCCAAGGCCACCCCTCTGGCCTCCAGAAGTCCCTAAGGCTTCCTCACTCCCACCTTTCTCCCCACCCTGGTTCACACTAAGCATTCTCTGCCCAGCCTCCCCTCTGAGAGCCCCCCGGGTGCCCACCAACCCCAGCCCCTCTCCATGGGCTCTCCACTCCTTCTGATCCCTTCCACGTCGTTCACCTGTGTGCAGCTAGTGACCTTATGAGGGCAGAGGCTCTAGGATCCCAGCTTCTGGCAGAAAACTGGCACCAAAAGTGGGCCTAATGGCATTTTTGGAATTACTCTGCTAAATGATAATACTATACATCACTACTTCTGGTCGCTTTCGAGTAGTTCTTAAGCAAAGCCCTATTCCAACAAATATATATATATATTTTTTGAGATGGAGCCTCAAGCTATCCCCCTGGGTAGAGTGCCATGGCATCACGCTCTCAGCAACCTCCAACTCCTGGGCTCAAGCGAGTCTCCTGCCTCAGCCTCCCAAGTAGCTGGGACTACAGGCACCCACCACAACGCCCGGCCATTTTTTGGTTGCAGCCATCATTGTTGTTTGGTGGGCCCGGGCTGGGGATTCGAACCCGCCACCTTAGGTGTATGTGGCTGGCGCCTTAGCTGCTTGAGCCACAGGCGCCGAGCCCCAACAAATAATATTATCACACTCTGCGAGTGTAGACATGGCCCCAACCTTTCGCAGCCACCTCCACGCAGCCCTAGTCTCTGCCACAGGTCACAGACCCCCAGGCCCCGCCCCAGGCCCCGCCCCGCCTCTCTGCCCACCCCAGTCTTTGCGCAGGCCCCGATCTCCAGGCCCCGCCCCTGACGCAGACTCCACCCTTCTCCTCTCCACTCCTGCGCAGGCCCGCCCTCCAGGCCCCGCCTTTTCTGCCTGAGGCTGCGCAAGCCCCTCTCCAAGCCCCGACCCCAGCCTGTTCCCGCCCGAGGCCCCGCCCCTCTCTGCCTCCTGATTCGCGCAACCGATAGCCGAGCCGGGCTAGCCATGGTGACCCTGGGCCTGTCCCGAGTGAACGACACCGTGGCCGCCAAGCACCCAGTGAGAAGGCTGGGCTGGGACGTGGACCCCAGACCTCAGACCTCAGAAGCTGACCTGATGGGGCAGGGGCTGGGGAGAGAAGAGTGACGGAGGGCGAAGGAACCCACTTGCTATGGTGCTCCAGGTCCTTGGGTGGGCACAGGGATGGCGAGAGGTGTCCAAGGCCCCACGGTCTCTACCCCACAGCCAGGGTGTGCCCAAAGGAGGGACAGGAGGGGCAATGAAGGAAGAGGGAAATGGAACTGAGCCTTCCTCTCCTGCCCCATCTCAGGGACTCCGGGAATATGCCACGTGCCAGTCGAACGCCTTCATGAAGGGCATTTTCACCTTAGTCACAGGTAGGCTGGGTCCAGGTGTCCTAGCACGTGGAGCGAATGCACCCTGCTGTTTCACCCTGACTTCCCAGCAGATGGTGCCAAGTCACCTGCCCTTAGGTGCTGGAGGCCTGACAGGTGCCACTCAGACAATGCCCCAGGTCATCCTCTGGCTAGCCCTGGGTACAGGCTGATTGGTGGGTACCTTGGCTCTTGGCAGGCAGCTGCGTGACCTTTGGCCTGCAGATGTTCATTCAGCGGAAGTTTCCATACCCTTTTCAGTGGAGCTTACTGGTAGCCGTGGGTGAGTACTCAGGGTTGGTGCCTGGGCTTGTCAGCCGGAGGGAGTTTCCACTGGGGATGGGGCAGCTGTGGGTCGAGCCCCAGTTCTTGGTGGCACCTATGCCCTACCCACCACATCTGCCAGGATCCCTGCCCAGCTTCCCTCACCCTGAGAAGTACGAGGCTGAGGCCCCAGCCCATTGCCCCCTTGCTTCCTCATCTTCAGTCACAGGCTCCATGGCCAGCTATGGAGTGACAAGAATGGAGTCACAGAAATGCAGCAACCTCTGGCTCTTCCTGGAGACGGGGAAGCTCCCCAAAGACATAGGCACAGGTGAGCCTAGGGGTAGTGGACACCAAGGGTTCAGCACCCAGAGTTTTAGGCAAGCAAACTTGAGCCCCAGCCATAGGCTAGGCAGGGCCCCTCTCCTGGCCTGTGCACCGTGGAAAGGCTGGGGCTGTGGTGGGCACAGTACCCAGGCCTTAGAGGGCTCCATTCTCAGTAGGAAGACTAGGAGGAGTGAGGGGCCTCTGAGAGGGAGGGGAGCAGTGTGGGCAGCCTCTAGTACTGTTTCAGGACTGTCTTTGCCCTGATCAAATGGGTGCAGGGACTCTCAGCAGGAATGGACATGGTTCTAGCTGTCTCTCTTTGCTTCTTACAGATCCACGCAGCTAGGAGAGCTCCAACTGCGCACAGGGGATTTGGGCCAGGGATCATCCTGGAACACAGCCCTCAGTGCCTCCCAACCCTAGGCTGGCCCTCCCCACCTTACATAGGTCCTCTCCATACCCTGTGGTACCCCAGCTGTATTCTCTGCACATGTGCATGGCCAGGCTCCACAAACCTGTGTAAACCTGCTACTGCCCCAGACTGGGACCTGCCCCGGAGGGAGACCAGAAGAACCCTCCCTGGGGTGGTGGTTGGTCCAGGGCAGCAAGAAAGGGGATTGCATGCGCATCTAGGCAGCAGGACTTAAACACACTCAGCTGCTCTCAGCTGCGCTGGCTGCATCCTGCCCTGCATCCTCACAAGTCAGATGACAGCTGGTGCTGGGGCAGGGGGCAAATAAACAATGTGTCCCTTCTCCCACCTGAGTTATAAAGCAACTGAAAAACAAAAGACTGAGAAGAGAGATGAAATGTCGCCTTGGTGTGTGAGGATGACATACAGATTGCACACCAAGGACACACAAGGCAAGCTCCTAATGCTGTGCCCCAGGACTGGACATTTCCTACTGGCCCTATAGGCCTATTGAGACCATCAAGGCCTCTGGCTGTAGGTGAGGGAGTTAGAGAGGGGAGGGAAGAGGGATGCAGGCAGAGCCCAGAACCAGCTGCCAAGTTCGTGGCCAGGCCCACTCAATTTCACGCCCACCAATCAGATAAAGCTGGTCCTCCCAAGCACTTGTAGCAAAGAGCCAGTGGTTGCAGCCCAACCTCATGGAGGAACACTCCCGAGTGGGCAAGTACTCCCACACTTGGCCACAACAGGAGGCAGAGGGGTACAAATCCTAGGCATGTCCGATGTTGATTACCCTGGCCTCCCAGTGACCCCGCAGGTCCATGCTGCTCCGCCCCAACTTAGGCCAAGTGTTGGCCTAACTGATCACTCAAAAGTATGTTCACTGAGTACCGAGTGTGCCCTCAGAGTTGGCAGGAAAGCAAAGTGACAGAAAACCCAAGATAACAGGGGTTTGAGCAAGCTAGAGCTTTATTTTTTGTTCCTGTAGTAGTCCCAGTAGGTGCCTCGATGGCCTGATTCTCAAGCCCCTCCCTCGTCCTCTGGTCCCAGGCAGCTGCACCAGCCCCAGCCATTGTGTCTTTATCCCACTTGACAGGAAGGAGAGAGGGGGAGGAGGGCAGCTCACCTGCCACTTCTGTTCACAGACTTTGTCAGAATAGGTCATGGGGCACACTAGTGCCTGGACACCAGGAAGGCAGCTGCCCCACACTGAGACTTGGGCTCCCATATCTGAGAAATAATGGAGAACCCAAACTGGGGCAAGTAGGTTCTGCCTCAGCAGGACACCAAGCTGGGCCCCCTAGAACCATGAAGAAGTGAGTGGCCACCCCCTTGCCAGGTCCTTCCAGCCCCTTGAAAGAGGGAGGACAGAGGTAAACTTGGAGTTTTACACTGGATTGGCTTTCTAAAAATGGAAAGTGACCATAAAGGTAAAGGACTTGTGTGAGAGGTCACAGAGGAAGATAGGCCCCATAGCAGCACATGGGTGAGGGCCATTGTTACAGGCTGAATTGCATGCCCCTCATTCCTATGTTTAAGTCCTAACCCCAGGATCTCAACATGCCACTGTACTTGGAGATAGGCTCTTCATGGTGTAATGAAGGTAACATGAGTTCATGAGGATGGGCCCTAATCCAATATGACTGGTGTCCTGCTAAGAAGTGGAGTTTAGGCTTGGCGTCCATAGCTCAGTGAATAGGGTGCTGGCCACATAAACTGAGGCTGGCAGGTTCGAGCCCAGCCTGGGCCTGCTAAACAACAATGGCAACTGCAACAAAAAAAAAAAGAGTGGCCAGGTGTTGTGGCTGGTGCCTGTGGTCCCAACTACTTGGAAGAATGAGGCAGGAGAATTACTTAAGCCCAAGAATTGGAGGTTGCAGTGACACCGCAGCACTCTACCAAGCGCAACATAATGAGATTGTCTCCAAAAAAAGAAAAAGGAGTTTAGGGGCCAGCACAGCGGCTACACCTGTGATCCCAGCACTCTGGAGGCCAAGGCAGGTGGATTGCTTGAGCTCAGGAATTCAAGACCAGCCTGAACAAGTGCAAGACCATGTCTCTACTAAAAATAGAAAAACTAGCTGGGCATCATGACATGCACCTGTAGTCTCAGATACTCAGGAGGCCAGAGTAAGAGGATCACTTGAGCCCAAGAGTTTGAGGTTGCTGAGAGCTATGACGCCATGGCACTCTACCCAGGACAACAGAGTGAAACTCTGAACCAAAAAAAAAAAAGAAAGAAAGAAAGAAAGAAGTTAAGATTAGGACACATACATGCACAGAGGGATGACCGACCATATGAGGAGGAGGGAGAAGACAGCCATCTGCAGACCAAGGAGGGGGCAGCCCTGCCCACACTTTGATCTCTGACTTCTAGCCTCCAGAACTATGGGAAAATAAATTACTGTTGTTTAAGCCCCCAAGTCTGTGGTACTTTGTGACCATGGTCCTAGCAAACTAATACAGGCAAGGTTGGGAGAAAAGCAACCCAACTTGTGTACCCATGGAGTCCCAGGCAGTTGGATGCTCCAGGTATACCACTCTAAACAGAAGGGCACAGGGGATGGAGAGGCACATGGGGGACTGACCCCTCAGGAATAAGTGGCACCTGAATCAAGACCCAGGAGCTCCCAGAGGGACGAGGGGGCAAAGCAGGAGAGGCTCCCGGCAGCATAGCAAAGGTTAGGAAGAGAAGTGGGAAGAGATGAGGCTGCGAGGGATGAGGCCTGGGGGTCTTATGAGCTAGGTCACCCAAGGTGTGGAGTTTGAACTTGGAGAAGGGGAAAACAGAGCCCCTACATGGTAGTGACAGTTGTAGGAGGTACAGTCCAGCTGTTCTGTGCAAGGCAGCCAGGGAGCATGGGAAAAGCTGAGAAGGCACAGGGATGCAGTTTGGGGGGATTGCTGTGCCAAGCCATCACACAACATTTCCCCAAAGAAAGATCCAGATCAGCGCCACGCAGCATCTGAGCCACAAGCAGGCACCACAAAACTCATTTCAGTTAGAACAAGTGTCCAGAAACTGGCTGGAGACAGTCGCCCAGAGGAGGCCTGCAATTCCTGCAATTCCAGGGTTACCTGGGCATTAAGAATCCTGGACCCCATCACAATGGGCTGAGATTCTTGGGACAATCTAGACCAAGGCTCTGTTGAGCAGGCCAAGGCCAAGGAGGGAGGGAGGTGAACAAGGCCTCTGGGGGACCATGAGGGCCACCATAAAGAGACACAGTGAGTCAGACTTGGAGGAGCAGATGCAGGAGCTGAAGACCATCACTCGACTTCAAGGTCAACCAACAGCACAGTGACCAGCCATCTTGGCCCACCTGTGATTGGGGGCCCCTGGGTGCAGGAATTTCAGTTTTAACAGAGGGGTGGGGGGAGGGGCAAGAAGACACTCTCTGCCCACTACCAACAAGACTGGGGGAGGGGATCAAAGGGACCTGCAATGAGGGAGTTCAAGGAGATTTGTGGGCATAAGAGCAAATGGGCCTCTAAGCCAGAAGGGACAGGAAAGGAACCACCTGCTTCTGTGGGCAACAGATCTTGAAGAACCACAGGACACCAATAGCTCAACCTCATCCTTGGCCTCCCTCTTCCCACTGCCACACCCTGTCCACTGAAAACCTCTCAGATAACTAGTGCTGAGCAGTGGAATGGGGTGTCCCCAGGCCTGGTGGGAGGAGGGAGCCCTGATGCCTCTCACTGGGGGATTCTGGGCCAGACCCTAGCACATATCCTTGCCACCCTATTTGCTCCACCTGCCCACAGAGCAATGTCAGATGGTCCAGACCCAGGGGATGAAAGAGAAGACCACCCAGAACAAGGCAACAATGACCCTCTTGCGCAGTGACATCCGCAGGGGTGCCCAGGACTGGGCTTTAGCCAAGAAGGTGCATGAGCCCAACCCCTCCCTACTGCCTGGGGATGAGGGGCTCCTCCTCTCCTCCCCACCCCAATTTTTCTGGAGCCAGAGGTCTTCTGGGAAGGGCTCTAGTCACTCCAGCAATTCCCCCCCACACACAGCTTCCTCACCACTCACCCTGGAAGGCATGGCCTGCCCAGTCTATCTGCTGCAGCAGGAGCCCTCTGGCTTTCTGTCCAGCTGGAGGAAACCCAGGCCCTCCTCTCTATACCCCTATCACCTCTGAGCTGGGATGGCCAGATGGTATCTCGCTGTGCTCTGCTGCCAGTGGTCCCCAACAGCAGGGGAACAGGGGGCCCTGAGGAGATTGCCTGGAGCAGCCAGGCTGGGGGTTCGCACAGGGGTGTGGCATCAGGCTCAGCCGCTGCCCTGCCCCTCACAGTACGACCAGTGGATCATCTCCAGGGCCTGCGGAACGGAAGTGCCCCTGAACCTGGCGCACTCCCGCAGCACCATGGAGGTAATGAGGCGGGAGGGGATTGGCAGCACTCTCTCAGCCCTGCTCGCGCACCCCGCACTAAGTGACCAAGTGGGCCGGTGAGGGCGGAGCAAGTGCCCCACCCTAGGGTCCCTGTGAGGTTGCCACCGACACGTCCCTCCGCCTGTCTGCTCCGGGCGAGCTCTGCGGTGCCCCTCCCACACCCCACGCGGACTGTGTCCTCCCCCACCAGGTGGCGAGGGAGAAGCTCCGCAAGTACGTCTTCGACCGCGTGAACGCGCACAACGTGCTGATCTACCTGGTGAGGCGGCGCGGGCAGAAGTTGGAAAACATGCAGCTGGAACTAGCTAGCCTGCGGAGCCAGCGGGAAGCCACCAAAGAGGAGCAGCGGCTGCTGCAGGTGGCGCGGGGCGCTAGCCGGGAGCGCTGGGCCCCTAGAAGGGCGGGAGGAGACGACGGGGCGGCGCTGGGAGAGCAAGACCTCCCTTAAAGAGCCCAGTCCCGGCTGGCGCGGTGGCTCACACCTGTATTCCCAGCACTCTGGGAGGCTGAGACGGGCAGATTGCCTGAACTCACAGGTTCGAGACCAGCCTGAGCAAGAGCGAGACCTTGGTCTCTAAAAACAGCCGGGCGTTGTGGCAGGCGCCTGTAGTCCCAGCTATTAGGGAGGCCTAGGCAAGAGAATCGCCTAATCCCCAGGAGATGGAGGTTGCTGTGAGCTCTGACGTCACAGCACTCTACCCAGGGAGACAGAGTCTAGTCCTCTGGAGTGGGCCTCCATCCCTTGGGCGTCCTGGCCCCTCTCGCTCAGCTGCCTACCGCTGCCCCTAGATCATCCGCCAGCTGGAGAACAACATCGAAAAGACGATGATGAAGATCACCACGAGCCAGAACATCCACCTGCTGTACGTGGACCTGCTGGACTACCTGAAGAAAGTGAGCCTTGCCGGGGGAAGCCTGCTGGCCAGGGCGGGCGAGGGCTCAGGGCCCGGACCTGCTGCTC